CTTAATTTAGATCACTTAATTGAGTCCATTAATTAATTGAATAGCTAATATAATATAATTGTATATAATATGTTGCCCATAATTAGATTATACATAGGAAATAAAATATTTACTAACAGGTTTCTGTCATCTTAATCCCCATACATATCTTTCTAGAAGTATAACTTCTGCTTTACCTTGGTTTTATATATACATGTATGCAAAGGCTGATCAAATATTGATGTGTTATTGCACTTCGAATCGATCTTATGTCGTCCGTCATTCGATTTGATCTTCGTAGACATGTAAAACACGTCGGGAATATTCTCGGTGTATAACCTCCGACGATCAATTCAGTAAAAGTCTATGAAAGGCTGTAGTAAATGTAAGTAATAATATTTTTTTTTTGGTAGTCAGCCACGGTATGTGGAGCTATGCCCCGACTAATCCGTTGGTCGACCCGAGTCGCACACCTGGCAGTGGTGGGTGAGTCTCCCAACAAGGGTTTTCTGCATTCACAAGGACTCGAACCCGAGACCTTGCTTAAGCGATATCAAGCTGCTTACCATTTTAGCCAACCCCTGTTAGTAATGTAAGTAATAATATTGACAGTGTATAGTGTGATTAAAATTTTATCTTTCTTACCTATTAATTATAGTGAATCATCCTTCTGATTTGGTTACTAGTAGTTAAACGAGAAGGTAACAAGAAAGTCCAAAATTGATCTTAAAAAACTAATGGGAATACCTCTCTAATAGAACTAACCAATGTCAAAGAAACATTGAAGGATGAATGTTAGATTCAAGCAATGCAAGAGTAGCTAAATAGCAACGGATTATTTCAGTTTCCATTTCGTAATGTCGTGTATTACACGGGTGCTTGCTAATTTTTTTTAAAATTAAAAATTAATGAGAAAAAGTAGTTGAAAATTTAAATACTTTTTATCAAAAAATATATATATTATTATATATTTAGTATGACACTTTTATTTGTGCGACTTACATGTGTTATATTATAATAATTTTTTAACTTACAACATATAACTACATTAAACATAAATATATCAATTGATAAATAATTTTATTCTTCTAGTGAATTTTAATAGATATTATTATTTTTTATTATTATAAAGATAAATATAACTTATTTATTTTCATATATACAATATGGATGTAAAATCGAAGATCATCAAAAGATGATTAATTTGATACATTATACATGTAAAACCGATAAGAAATACAAAAGTTATCAACTTTTAAAATACATTTATAATTCAAGAGCTAATTGAAGGAAACAAATCAAATGTCAGGGATATATTAGTCACTTAGTGGCTCACTATGTAAAATTATAAAAAATTAAAGGGTTATATTAGTACAAGTGATATTAAAATACCTAAGTTAAGCTAAATAATATTTATGGAATGTCCGAACCTAGATTATTAATTATTAATATATCAATATTATTTGTCCAAACCTAATTACGAAGCATGATTCTTCGTCAAGTAGGATTCTGAAGCACCAGAAGCAGCCACGTAGGCTCAACGCATTCGAAAATTATATATTGGGAGGATGGGTACTTATATTTATAGTTACTATTTTTATAGACTAGTTATATTAGAAAAAATTACTAAATATAATTGAACGATTGTATCATATTTATGGGTACTTGTTAAAAAATTTATTCTTAAATTTTAAAAATAATGAGAACAGTTCTTTAAAATTAACATACTTTTTTACAATATATATATATTATATATTTTAGGATGATAATTGTTACTTGTACGGCTTACTTGTGTTATATTATAATGATTTTGCTAACTTTTAACATATAACTACTTTAAACATAAATATTTTAATTGATAAATAATTTTATTTTTAATTAATATTAGTAAATAATTTCATTATTATTATAAAGATAATTAATTTTATTTTATACATGCAATATAGATGTCAAATCGAAACTTAACAAGAGATGATTAATTTGATATATTCTGTATTCAAAACTGATAAAAAATAATAAAGTTATTAACTTTTAAATACATATACAATGTTATAATTGAAAGTGATATTAAAATAAAATTAATACATCTAAAGTGGATAAAATAATTAAAATCTATTCAAGCCAAACAATGAAGTGTGAAATATTGCCACATAGATTCCCGAAGAATGCTAGCTTGCCACTTGGTCTCAGCACATTCATGAATTATATATAAAAAAGTTTTTATAAAATATAATTTATATAATTTATATATATATATTATATATATAGTAATATGTAATAGTTAATAGAATAAGAATTGTAGAATCATGTCTTATACATTCATATTGCCTAGTGGTGATGCAAGTGACTTTACCATGCGGGAAGTTTTGAATTCAAATCCTATTGTTGGGAGAATTAGTAAAGATTATATATTGGTGGGCGGTCATGTGATCAAGTTGAGCCATGTGGTTCAAACTGAGTCATGTGGTATGGCCTTCAAGTTGAATCTGTTGGTTTGGCTTTGTTGTTGGTAATTATCTCGATGGGAGTTATTGGTAATCCGTTGCTAAAATATTCGTTAGTAGTTTGTTCAAATCTCCGCTGGTAGTCCGTTAGAAAACTATCTATTGAGAATCTTTTGACAATGTGATGTAGGAAAAGCGTTCGAGTGGGAAAGATAAACAAGATACTCTCTCGTAAAATACACAAATCTCCAATATCCAATTCAATCTCAAAATTCACCAAGTGTAGGGGAGTCCTTTATATAAAAGCTCTCAAAAATAAAAACCCTAACTTGCTAAACAAGAAAATACCAAATAAATATTCTCCTACCAACTAGAAATAAGAAAATAATAAAAAATAAAAATATTACTACTAATAATAATGATAATAATAATAATAGTAATAATAATCATAGTTATTATTCTGCACCATTCTCCCCCCGTTGAGCAGGATTCGACCTCGAATCTGACCTGTTCTCGTTGGAGCGTCCCCATGATAGAAATAGCCCGACATTTCCCCCGATCGAACACAAAAAATAAAGGTTGCACAACAACCCCGATGGGAAACATAAGCTTGAACAAGTGTTGTACTGCTGCAAAGGTACATGTACACGCCTCCCTACGCATAACCCACACAATGGAATTAACACCAAACATACCACATCGTTCACCGTGCTCAAATCCATAACTACGGCCAAGCATTCTGTTGTTGGGAGACTTCACGATAGACAATCGAAAAATGGCCCACCAGTTATTGAGCATCGGTTTCTGCTCCAAAAAACCATCTTCGGCCAAGATAAATCGAAAGTCGGGTCTGAATGGCTTCCCATTCGAAGGCTCAACCTCTGCGACTTCCCACGCAAGACCCATATTGTCGCATAAATATTTTCTCATCACCGGAGGCTCCTCATAAAAAATGGGCGGACCATCGTATAATGACCCCATCATCTTGCTCTTCGTTGAATTTGAGGTTGTTCACACGAAACGAGTCCTCCCATCGACCAACCTCGCGATTGAATTCCCTCTGCATTGGCCTAATTTATGCATCTCCTTAACATGCCCAGAAAACGCATTTGGACTGCTCCTGTTGAGGCCCAAAATCTCCAACATCGTTGTCGTTCAGAGGTGGCGAGATTGCTGTCGGGGCGCCCCGACATCGCTGCGTCCCCCACGTCCGCCTCTGTCTCCCCCGCGATTGCCACAGCCTCATTGCGGTTCGCCTGCAATTCCGAAACAATCACGTTGTTAAACGCCAAACACAAATCCTCGATCCCCGTCGAAAGGTCGGCAAACCAATCCACGAAACGCACATCCAATTGTTGAAATCGGTAGTCGATTTGTTGAAACCGATCGTTGAAGGTTGCGTCACGTCGTTCATTTGCGGCATCTTATCATCCCGACGGCGTCGCAAATCGTACTGACTGATGATACCAATTGATGTAGGAAAAGCGTACGAGTGTGAAAGATAAATGAGATATACTCTCTCGTTAAACACACAAAACTCTCAATATCTGATTCAATCTCAAAACTCACCAAGTAACAATAAAGTAGGGAATTGAAGTCCTTTATATAAGACTCTCAAAAATAAAAATCCTAATTTGCTAAACAAGAAAATACCAAATAAATATATTATCCTACCAACTAGAAATAAGAAAATAATAATAATAAAAAAAATACTACTACTACTAATGATAATAATAATAATAGTAATAACAACCATAATTATCACAATGTTTCCGTTGGGAAACTTGATAGATGACCAACGGATTATTGCTTAATTAATTAATAACGATTTGGTGGAGTACTCATTTATGGTAAACTCACTCAATGCATAGCATTAAATGCCATGACCAAAACAATGCAAATCATTTTCTTCCATCTCCAAAGGTTGTTCACAACTACATAGGAACGCTTGGATGAGATGGTTTGAGTCTCTTTTAGTTTAACTAGTGGTCTCGTGTTGGAACCCTGGGAATGATGCAGTGTTAAAACTCTTGAGGGAGAGCTTTGCCGCCCTTGTGGTCCTACCCGGCTCGATTCCGGATTAGTCTGTTCCCCTGTAAATCCAAAAACCGGAAGGTCCATGTAAAAAAAAAAAAAAAAGGTTGTTCACAACCTCTCAAGTATAAATACACACAAATCCACCACAATACAACAACACAAATCCACCCACAAAAATCAACAACAATAAGTTAACCTTTGGAGCATAATGGGAGACCTTCACCACCAAGCTCCCCAAGAACCAATAATCCAAGACCTCAAAGTGTCAATCCAAGACTCATCCCTCATAATCCCACCGCACCAAACACATGATAACAACAACCAAAATAAGTCCATCTTCTTGTCAAACATTGACCAAGTCCTCAATTTCCATGTCCAGACGCTGCACTTCTTCCAAGCCAACCCCGATTTCCCGCCGGAAACCGCGGCTGCTAGCCTGAAGAACGGGCTGGAGAAACTGATGGCCGGGCCTTACGACTTCTTGGCCGGACGGCTGAAGCCCAATCACCAAACGGGCCGGCTTGAGATCGAGTGCAACGGGATGGGGGCCGGGTTCGTGGTGGCATCCAGCGAGTATTCTCTAGATGAGATTGGGGATTTAGTCTATCCTAATCCGGGCTTCATGCAGCTTATTGTCCCCGGATTGGAAAAGTTCCTTGATCAGCCACTTGGAGTTTTCCAGGTAATAATAAATTAGTCATACTTAGGTTGTAAACGAGATCGAACCACAAATTGAACTCGAGCCTTAACAAGCCGATCTCGAGCTTTAACGAGCCGAACTATAAATTTTTTATAAAAATTCTCTTTTCTAGCCTTAACGAGCCGAACTAAAGGAGCTTTCAATGGGCTTGAGCTCGGCTCGTCAAGGGCTCGAACTCGAGCCAAATTTGAGTCTTAACAAGCTGAGCCAGACTCGTTTAATTTAACAGCACTAGTCAGACTATCACGTAATAAATTATATGCTGCCTTTGGCGAACATGTGAATGTTTTGTGCATTGTGATGGAATTTATTTTGAATGAAAGAACTGCATTTCCTTTCTCTCCTTATTTGATTAATTTCCTTAGAAAAGTATTTATATGGTCTATAAATAAATAAGATAATTAATTGCATGAATATTATCTCATTACATGCTGGCCTGCATTTGGGTATTTGACACTCGCAAAGGTTTCAGTTCAACTTCCTCTTTTCTTCTTCAATAGAAAAAAAAAAAAAAATTAATAATAAATAAAATAAAATAAAGACGCAGTTAATATATAAATATATATATATATGAATCTAATAATTATTATACATGGCTCACACAGAACCACCATAATTAAACACTATCAGCATAAAAAATTGAAAACTTAAGGAGATGTTGCGGTCCTAAAATCATTCCATTAGTGTTTGTAATCGTTGGATCAACTATACCGACGATTACATGATAATTTAATGGTTACAAACCTCGACGGATGATTCCGTAACGGGACTATAGCATTTCTCGAACACTTATCACACGAAATCAATATCATCACATTTAATTCCGTGGAAAAGCAGGTAAAGGTTATGGCTTTAAATTCATTTAATTGGGAGTTGACATATGTGGTCTTTTTTTCAGTCTACTCAATTTCTAGTCCTACAAGGTAGCTATACATATCCCTCGTCCATTAACTTATAAAGTAATTAAATAATTATTAACCTCCTTCTATGTACCAAAAAAAATAAAAAAATAATTATTAACATTTACATCCAACCAACAACTTAAAATTAATTCATTATGGGTGTGATTTTAAATTTTACAACTAAATTTAAATTCATGTACGTAGGTCACATCATTCAAGTGTGGCAGTTTCGCATTAGGAGTCTCCACCAACCACATCTTATTCGACGGCATGAGCTTCAAAACCTTCCTCCAAAACCTCGCTTCCCAATCACTCCCCGACGACCGACCCTTAGCCGCCGTCCCGTGCAACGATCGCCGCCTCCTCGCCGCCAGGTCGCCTCCACGTGTCACGTTCCCCCACCCGGAGCTTCAAAAACTCGACCTCCTCGACGAACAAAACGATCCTCCCCCGGTGTTCAACTGCAGCCAGGCCGACCTCGACTTCCGCATCTTCCACCTATCCCCCGACAACATCAGCCGCCTCAAAACCAAAGCCGGCCCCACTAAAGCCACCGGCTTCAACGCAGTGGCCGCGCTCGTTTGGCGGTGCAAGGCCCTCTCGTCAATGTCCCACGATCGGGAGTCGGTCATTCTGTATGCAGTGGACATCCGGCAGAGACTCGTCCCGCCTCTACCGGCTGCCTACTGCGGCAATGCTGTGCTGAGCGCGCACGCGTCTGCCAGCTGCCCAGAGTTGGCGGACGAGGCGTTCGGGGAGACGGTGAGACGGGTGGCGGCGGGGGCCGCCAGGATGACGGACGAGTACGCGAGGTCGGTTATCGACTGGGGAGAGCTGCACAAAGGGTTCCCACACGGGGAGTTTCTGATCTCGTCGTGGTGGAGGCTAGGGTTCGATGAGGTGGGATACCCGTGGGGGATGGCTAAGTATAGTTGCCCAGTGGTGTATCCGAGGAAGGATATCGTTCTGTTGTTTCCAGAGATGCGTGTCGGGGATGGTGGGAGTAGCGGCGGGGGTGGTGGAGTTAACGTGCTTGCGGCATTGCCACCGGATGAGATGGAGAAGTTTAGTAGCTTATTTCATGAATATATTTCGGGATGAATATATATTTATGTGGAGCTTGGATTCTATCTGCGGTTTATTTGTGTGTGAAATTTCTATGTTTTGTATTGTGTGTATACGAATAATTGAACTTCGACAACCATTTGTATTTGAACTTGTGAGTGTACCATAGATGTGTGCAAGAGATGTGTTCACTATGTATGTGAGGATTATATGTCACTACAAGATATTTGGTACCATTTTTTTATTGTTTAATTTAAATTCGCTTATTGATGTACGTAATATACTTATCCAGTTATGTAGAACATGTGTAGGTAATTTTTTATACGATATAAGAAATTATGCATGATGTTGATCACGAGTCGTAGCCAGAATTATTTTTAACATGAAGCTGCATATTATTGTAGCTATTATTGGAACCGATTAGACATGGTCATAGGCCAGGCAAGTCCGCCGGTTCGAACCGAACCAGCACAAACTGGCCCGTTGACCGTCTTGAACCAACCCGTGAGTTGACCAGTCTGGTTCATGTTCAATACTTTATAGTTTATACATTTTGAGCCGGCAGTTTCGATTTTGAACTGGAACCGAAACAAGAGGTTTCGGTCTCTTTAAAAAAAAAATATTTTTTAATTATATTTATTTGTTAAAATAAAACGGGCAGCCAAGAACTGACAACTCAATGAATCTGCCAGTGCATATGTTTGGGCTGGCGATATCAACGCGAATCGGTTTTGCCATGACTAGAACCAAATTATCTATAAATATATTTTAGTTCGAACTGTGAAAACTCAATCTCGACTCGTTTATACATTTAAACAAATGAAACTAAATAACTAATAGAACTTGTCGATCAAACAACTAGAGTCGAATATGTTTGCAATCAACTATGTAAGAGTTTTTTTTTTTTTCTTGTCTACGAAATGAGGCCAAATTAATTTTAGGAGGTGAATTCAACAAAAACCGAATGAAAATGGTTAACAATTTGTGCAATAAGGCAAGCCCAAAATAGCCTGCAGGAGAAGTGAGCGTCTTAATTGTCCAACTCATTTGGCTCTTGTCAGATCAACTCATTAAGAAATTAAAAGACATTAGAGTGTCGAACCACATTATAAACTCAATTGATAAAAATTTAATTAGAGCATAATTGTCATTTGACAATAAAAGATTATTTCATTTCCTCTCACTACGATCATCACTTATCTACCATTCTTGTCAAATGAATAAATTTGACTTGAATAAGATATTCAACCCGAAATTATATGGGGCTAATTAAAAAAAAAAAAAAT